TTTAGAAATTGTGTATATATTCTTTATTGTTATTTAACTTATTTGACGAAACCGTTCATTCAATTTATAATTTTAATCATCCCGCACCACTAAAAAATAACGGATAAAAACAAATATAAAAGTTTTAACATCTTTATATAAAAATAGAAAAGATTTGGTTTGAATAAAAACTCATTGAACTATGTTTATCACAATAAAACATAAAAATACAAAATTTTGATTTCAAAATTTAATTTTTGTGTGGCCAATCTTGAAGATCTAAATTTGAATTAAAATAGAAAATTGTTTTCTTCCTTTGATTCGATATTATCATTATTTTATCTTTCTGTTTTTTCCTTATATTGTGCATTTTTTCTCAATATATAGCTCAATTCTCTCTCATCCTTTGGTAAATATAAATATATTTTGACCTATTTTATAGCCTCCCCATCTGTTAAATTTTCTTCATCTGGGTTCCTTATTTAACCCGTTCATAATCAATTCATACATACACATCAACTTACGCGTCCTTATTTCCATTATATTTCTCTATGCACTTGCTTCACCATTAAAGGGAAACCAAAGCTTTGATTTTTATGAATATTCAAGGGTAAATGGTAAGCAAAGGTGAGATTTTTTTTACATCTTTTTTATTCATACATAAATCTTCTCTGTTATTTTATTCTTATTATCTTTTTGCTGCTTCTTGTTGTTTTGCCTCGTGGGAAACCCCCAAAATGAGTTCCTTTTTTTCATTTTTCACTATCGCATCTATTGAAAACCTATTAGTGTTTGGTTATATAAACAGAGAATTAATTGGCTTCCTTTGTAGAAATGTTGTTGTTGGGCATTGAAATGATAGTAAGAGTGCATATAATGTATTTGTTAATATGTCTGTTTGGGGGGAGATTTTTCTCGGTTTGTGTTCTTAAAAATCTCAGGCAAAATTACGTTGCCGGCACAAAAATTCCTCTTTATGACAGAGAGAGATTGGACAAAGAGATGTGTCTTTGTTATGAATCCTTAAAGTGTGGTTGCTTTTGCAGGACAAGTTTCTTTTACATTTAATGTCAATCTGTCTATTCAGTTTTTGTTTTGCATACAAGAAACAGAAGGAGGAGAGGGCTTTTACAGTTTTTTTCCTTAAAGCCTTTATTGTTTTTTTTCCTTGGACTTTGCAATCTCTCTCTCTGCTTCTTTTACTGGTTGTTTATTACATCACATAATTGTTCCTTCAAGCACATTTTTTGTGGATATTTTATGAGTAAGACATATGTTGAGACTTAAAGTCTCTGACTTTTGTTTTCATTAATAAGAAAGAAAGTAAATGCGGAAGAAGGTTTAGTGGTTGTTACAGAGGATAAATGACCTTAAAGTTCTTACCTTTTTTATTTTTGTTGTCTTTTGGTTTTGTAAGAAGGAATGGCATCAAGCTCTTGTCTTAAGCAAGGGTCAGTGCCAATGAACAACATTTGCATTGCCCCTGAAGCAACGTATGAAGCTGTTGTTGCTGACCCTAGGCTTTTCATGTCTTCCTTGGAAAGGCTTCACTCCCTCTTGGGTACTAAATTCATGTAAGTTTCTTACTTATGAGAGTAAGTTCAGTGGTTATATGTTGGCTCTGATAGAAATTTGTGACCAGAAAGTCTCCATCTTTGAGATTTAAGCTCTTGGATTGATGATGATGATTGATTTCATGCTTATGTTTTCATCTTGGAAGTACAAAAGTTTCATGTTTTACTAATGCATGTGATTCTCTCTCTATCTACATGGCTGCAACACATTATAGCTTCCAGATTTCACCATTCTACATATTGCATTTGTGATTGTAGGGTTCCGATCATAGGAGGGAGAGATTTGGACTTGCACAAGCTTTTCGTCGAGGTAACAACTCGTGGTGGAATCAATAAGGTATGTTAAAATGATACTTTTGTATGATCTGTTTTCTAATTTTCTCATTTCTTCTCCTTATGATCTACATTTGGTTCTTTGAATTTGCAGATACTTCATGAAAGGAGATGGAAAGAAGTAACTGCTACATTTGTCTTTCCTCCAACCGCGACAAATGCATCATATGTCCTGCGCAAATACTACTTCTCGCTGCTTAACAATTATGAGCAACTCTATTTCTTCAAATCTAATGGCCAAATTCCTCCAGGTTTGCTTCCCCATTTACAATCTTACCAAAATCAAATATTTTTTCACTTCTCTGTTTTGTAATCAACATTTCTTGTGTAGACTCTCTGCAGAACCCATCCGCTAGACCGGGACTTATGCAAGGAACCATAAGACCTTCACAAGAACTACAAGCTTTAACCTTTACACCACAACCAAAGATCAACTCTTCTGGAGAACTCCCTGGAGGTCTCAATTTTCTTTCACTTTGTTTCTGTGATTAGTGTAACTAAAGAAACTAAGACTTACAAATCTATTAGCAATTTCTGCTTTTTTGTTGTTTTCAGGATCTGTAGCTGGTTCAAATGTGATGGGAGTGATTGATGGGAAATTCGAAAACGGTTACCTTGTAACTGTAACAATGGGATCAGAGCAGCTTAAAGGAGTTCTGTATCAGCTTCTTCCACAGAACCCTGTTCAAACTCCACAACAGAGTCATGGTGTTTTCCCCAACACTTGGAACAATAATGCCAATCCTCAGGGGATTACTGGAGGGGTCACAAAACGGCGTAGGAGAAGAAAGAAATCAGAGATCAAAAGACGCGATCCTTCTCATCCGAAACCTAACAGAAGCGGTTATAACTTCTTTTTCGCGGAGCAGCACGCGAGGCTGAAGCCGCTTCATCCCGGTAAAGACAGAGAGATCAGCAGGATGATTGGTGAACTCTGGAACAATCTTGATGAAGAAGGAAAATCGGTATTTTACATTTTCACTTACTCTTAATCTCTGCTTATAGGTTTCTTCTGTTTTCTCTGAATTCTCACCATTTTAGGTTTACCAAGGGAAGGCAATGGAGGACAAAGAGCGATACCGAACTGAGATGGAAGATTACAGAGAGAAGCTTAGGACAGGACAACTCATAAGTAACGCTGTTCCACTGCAACAGAGACTTCCAGAGCAAAACGTTGGTACTGCTGAAGCTGATCTTCCAATAGAAGACGCGGAAGACGAAGACGAAGAAGGTGATTCAAGCGGTTGCTCAGGCGAAAGCGAAGCACATGATGATCAGAACGGGGAATCAGATCCTGAACTGGAGAAGCCAACTTTGAATCCTTCAGATCTTAACCTAAACCCTAATCCGACTGAGATAGTCGTGGCTCCCAAGGAGAAAACCGGCGATGTTGTGATGGAAACAACTCCAATGAAGAAAGCTGAAGAGCCGACCATGGTGGTGGCAGCTGAGCAGAACTGAAGATTCAACAGCCACAAGTAACAAGGTTAGAGAGCGGAAAGGGTTTGAGATAGGTTACTTGTGGCACAAGATAATCTC